CAGGAATGGCTGAGCTGCTTACAAGTACCATCCTGAGTAGGTCTGCTCAGAATCTTACTCAGGCCTATGTAAGGGAGCCTCACTACCAGAGACCCATTCTTAGGATTACACTGTTAGTGGGTTCAGCTTGGTTCAAATTCCACCATGTCAGTATAGCTGAGTGGCTCACGAGAGTTAATTACTCACACATTCAGCCCCCGCCCCTAAAACAGGAAGCGCCTTCCTCCATTTCAACCTCACAATAAGCCTGTGAGGTAGTTTAGGCTGAAAGAATAACTGGTCCAAGAATACCCATTAAGCTTTATGACAAGTGAGGATTTGAACACAGGTCTCCCTGGTCCTACTCCAACACAGACTGACTTCAAATTGGCGGACTCTTCTAGCAGATAGGCATTATCTGCTAAAAGAGTCTGCCAGTTTGAAAGTGCATGTTTATGAAACAGCGGCCCCTTTGAGAAGAAGGAAGTCACTTGCTTCCCTCACTATTTTTCAGGAAGACGAAAAATATTAGGAAAGATTCTAACTTGATGAAAATGCTGCTTCTCTCCCCGCCCCCGCCCGCACTGGCACACATATAGGATTTTGCATGCCAAGGTGGTAGTTGTGGAACAAGCATCCAAAAGAAAGCGTAAGAGGTATTTTGGATATATTTGGGTTTACAATTAGCTATTTACGATGAAGTTCAAGATTTATAAACATATTCCAGAGGGGCAGCCACATCAGTTTGTTGCAATCAAGATGACAAAAAGTCTTGAGACACCCAAAAGACCAGCAAATATATTGCAGAAGAAAGTTCTGTGGACTAGAGTCTACTTCAACAAATGCCTAAAGTTAGTAAATTTATATAATAAATATATAGGTACAACAGTAGAGGAGAATGTAGCTGAAGGGAGATACAAAGGTCCAATAATCTGAGACAGGTTGTACCCCGAACAAACCAGAAAACCAATTTCTGTCAAAGACCACATTCAACTGATGACTTCACCATGGGGAGGTCGAAAACTGTACTTAAGGATGAAAGTATCTCAAAACAAGTTATGTCATCCAGGCAACAGTTATGACTCTCCCCAGCACTTGTAATATTATCACTGTGGCTTCCTGATCTTTCAAAGAGATTGTGTTTTGTCTCACATACTGTATTTAGGGCACACAGTACAGCCAGAGGCTAGTCTGGTTTTAGCAGGGTGATTACTGCTTCCAATGCAACTGCAACAATAGCCATGCAAATGGAGCGTCCCAAGCAGGACTGTAAAACAGCCGAAGGTGCACAGATTTCCACTGGAACCGATAAGATTAACCACCTCTACTGAAAACAAATGTTAGCCAGTTTCTGTAGTTTAAACAAAGAAGCCAAGCTCCTTACCACCCAACCCCCCCTTTAACAAAGCAAGAATGGCATGTAAACAACCTAGCTAGTATATACATAACTGGTGTGATGTTTTACTCTGTACCCTAAGGGAGGGTTAATGAGATATTCTTAGTACTTAACTTGAGACAAGTCCACTGACTTAAAAAAACAAACAAACAACCACACACCTGGAAATAGTTTTTCCTTGGTACTGATGACAAAGACCTGACCTGGATAACCCAGGACAGTCAGATCTGAGAAGCCAAGGAAGGGTTGGCCCTAGTTAGTACTTGGATGGGAGACCACCACAAAAGCCCACAGTTTCTACCCAGAGGCAGGCAATGGCAAACCATCTCTGTTCCGTCTACTGCCTTGAAAACACTACGGGGTGACCACAAGTCAGCTGCAACTGGAGGGCAAAAGATAAAAAACCTGGTAATAAAACACAGCTTATCTGGAGGGGTGCCTGGGGTCAGGGCCAAATCATACCTGGAGTCCCAAGCTCAGAGCTCCCAACTTTAAAACACGCAGTCATCAAGCGATAGCTCACAGGGACCAGATTCTGGGGGTTTCAAGCCTTTGCCCCCCCAAATACCATTTTCCAAACGGAAACAGCACCAGGGAGTCACTGCGTCAGAACTGGGCCCCTGTGTGCCTGATAACTAACCGCCTTTTTTAAAAAGCTGAGGGCCCCACCACAAAATCCCAGGCTTCTGGCTTGGCCCACAGACTTTGCCCGCAGACCAGTGTTCCCTCTAAGCTGTGGAATCTTGTGAGCAAAAATTCCACTTTGTGAGCGTCTGGCATTAAAGTTGTGAGCGAGTGATTTGGCTGCTGCATAAATTAGTTTGCTCTGGAGCCTTCCTTCCTGAGCTAAGACAAAAATCTGTGAGCGGGAGGCTATAAAACTGTGAGCTAGCTCACACTAACTCAGCTTAGAGGGAACACTGCCGCAGACGGTCTCAGCTCAGTCTTATCTGATGACTGCAAAGGGTTGGCCTGGTAGTCTGCTGTATCAAAATGAAACAACGATCTAGTGACACCTTAAAGACTAACAACATGCTGTTAGGTATTTTTTATCTTTCATGTGCCCTGTTGGATTTGTTTTGGTTTCAATCTTATCTCCAATGAAAGCATCTCAGGTGTTGGGAAGAGGCCTCTCTCTGCCACAGGTCCCGGAGGAGTGACTCCCCATCACAGAACAAAACAGGAGTCCAGGGGACCTTAACAGACTAACAACACTCCTTCCAGCATCAGTGCAAACAAATCAGTCACGGTAGAGAACACTCAGCTGGGTGGACCAGTGCAACTTCTTTTGGGCTAACATGCCTCTCTTCTGTGAGTCACAATAAAATGTAACTCCACTCTGGATCTTGATCCAATGTTGCATTTCTAGAGGCAGAAGGATTCCCACCCTCTGAACCTGGGCCTTCGAAGCTGGAGGCTTTACTTTCCCAAGGATTCGCCAGGAAGTTCGCAAAGACCAAGGGTTGGAGCCAATGGAGCATTTGCAAACTTTGTCCTTCTCACTTGCCCCATCCCACCGCAGATCAAAGCAGTCCATAAAATGCTTTCCCTCTAAGCTGAGTTAGTGTGAACTAGCTCACAATTTTTTAGCCTCCGGCTCACACATTTTTGTCTTCGCTCAGGAAGGATGGCTCAAGAAGAGCCAACTAATTCATGCAGCAGCCAAATGGCTCGCTCACAACTTTAATGCCAGTAGCTCACAAAGTAAAATTTTTGCTCACAAGACTCCACAGCTTAGAGGGAACATTGCTGGGGTCTTTCTCATGACCAGCTGCTTTTAACTGGAAGTGCCCGGGACTGGACCTGGGGCCTTCAGCATGCCAAGCCAGTGTTCTGCCAGTGAGCCAGGGGCTCTCCCAAGACAAGGCATTCACACCCAGCTTGCCCAAAGGAATAGAAGCGACGTCGCAAATGGCACCAGACCACAAAGTAGGGTGCTGCTGGCAGTTCTTGCGATGGGAACGGAACAGGATGGAAGAAAAGGCAGCGTCCCATCCTGTCTGCTGTGGAGCCCCGCCGCAGTTCCCACACAGGAAGGCAAAGCAACAAGAGCACGGGGGGGGCGGGGCCAGGGGGGGGGGGGGGGGCAGGGAAGGGTGTCACTCCGCCGCCGGGGAGGGGGCAGCCGCCGAAGTCTCCTCCCCCGGCGGCCCCTTCGACATCACCCAGCCGGGCAGCGGCCAAGTCCTTCCCCTCGCCGTCTTTCGCGCCCCTGCTTGAAAAGCACTCGCCGCTCCACCAGGAACGGGGCGGACTCGCCAACGCCTCGCCCGCTTCTCTCCCCCCCTCCGGGACGCGCCGCTCACAGCTTGGGCAGCCGCGCCACACGAGCCGCCCGATCCTAAGCAGGCCCCCCTCGCACCTCCTCCTGGCGGGGGACGACCCCGGCTGCCCGGCTAAAAACCCGCGGAGCCTCCCTGCCAGGCTGAGTGCCGCTGGCCTCCCGGGGACGGAGTCTGAAACGCGTACGACCGCGCCGGATGCGTCACGTGTGAATGCGATGGACGCGGGGCAAGACCAGGGTACGCGCCACAGACAGATCACACGGCCCGTGCAAGTTTTCCCGATTCGCCGCCTGTCTGTGAGGACGCCCCAGTTTCGCGGAGGCGCCGCTCCTGACCGGCCCCAATCCATTGCTCCGGGCACGCGCCTTTCCCTTCCAGCCGCGCTTCCCTCCATCTCCCAGGCTCCAGGCACATGCCCGGGCATGTCTCCAGCGCGGAGGGGCTGCAGCCCGGCCTCCCAGTAGGGGCGGGGCAAGGGCTGGCTCCAGAGCTCCCCCCCCTCTCCCGTCCCAGCCCTCCCCCAACACCGGGTTCTGCCACCGCGTTCTGCACCAGGCTGCGGACTCCCTCCCCACTGGGGGGGCGGGACACCAACACACGCGCCATGCAGGGATACAAGCCTCACTTTCCGCCCTCCCGGGGCGAAGTCTGTAAGAACTTTTCCCCAACAGGGAACTTTTTAAACGGGGTCGGAGAAGAGAGAGCGACAGGGAAAAATAGTAAAGTCCCAAAGTTTTTCTCTGGTCTGTGAAGCGCAAAGCCCCGGACGAGGGCGAAAGCGGGAGGGGAGAGCAACGCTCCGACTCACCAGGAAGCCAAAAGCCACCGCAAGGGCCAGAAGCCCCCTGGCCGCCACGGACATTCCGCTGCTGCTACTCCCCAAGCCCGGGCTCTAGGGACGGGCGCTGCCGCGGGCGCGTCTGGCGGCGCTTCGCTCGGCTCGGTCCGCAAGTCCCGTTGAACTTCAGCTTCGCTCCGCGCAGCCACAACCTCCTCCTCCCTCGGCAGCTGCCGGCCGAATGAATGAAGCGTCCCGCGACTAGGAGGCGGACGCGGAGCCCGGCGGGGACCGCCCACAGGCGGTTTCAACAGGTTTAGGTGGCTTCTCCTCGGCCGTGATTCTGCCGAAGAAGTCATCCCGGGGTAAATCAGGCCGTGCACAAAACCACCCGCAAGCCCGGCCGTTCAGCCCGGAGTCGGCCGGGTGTTAAAATCCCGGGATTGCAGTTTATAAAAAACTCCTTGGAATATCCAAATAATGAAACTGATATAAATAAAAGTGCTGGGAGACATCTCGATGTGCTACGAAGCTGGGTAGTTTGGGCTACTAACACCGGGTAAGAGCCAAACAGCTTTCCCACTCAATGTAGCCCAATTTCCTTCCTTACAGCTGGTGTTTTACATGACTTTTGTCCATGCAGGTCTCATGGTCCTCGGCAGCACGTTTCTTTGTTGGCTTTTCCATTTGGCAGCAAAATGAGTTTGCTCCACTGCCCCCACTAGCTTGAAACTGAATTTCACAGAGCTGTTGTATTTTTTTTAAAGAAAGAACACACATGAAACTGCCCTCCATGGTCAATGCCCAGGATTAAATCTGGGACTTTGTGCATGCCAATCGGGAGTGGGGGACCCCATGTAGATCACTGCAGCTCCTTCAGTGGTATGGCCCAAAACTAGTATAAAAATGGGCAGCAGGCCTGTTGACTGGCATAGATTACAGAACACATGTTGTCTGTATTTAAAGAAATACAGGCCTGCCAGTTTACTTCCAGGCCTAATTTAAAGTGCTGATTATATCATTTAAACCCCTAAAGTGGTCTGGGCCCCAGGTACTTAAAAGACAGGCTTTCCCGAAAGGTACTGTACCTGCCCCTTCCAAGAGTCACTGTTGCCATTGTCTGTTCTTCCACCACTGCCCATGAACCCCTTTCTCACATCAATTTGTCTGTTTTTTGTATTTTTTTAACCTAGGCTTTTTGTTATTTTTTGTAACCTAAGAATAGTTCTTTTATTTTTTGTGAAAGTTTGTGTTATCCTATTATGCTATCATATTTTGCTTTCACAGCAGCACATCTTTTAATATTTTTATGATCCTATATTGTAACATCTTTTATTGTAACCTTTTAGTTTTTTTAACCAATTACAGTTTTGATTGCTGATTTCAGACTTGATGTTTATTTATTTAACACGGACCTTTATTTGAGTCCAGTGGCACCTTTTAAAAGACCAATAAAGTTTTATTCATGGTCTTAAAGGCAGTTGTTGGCTAAATTTGGAATTCAGCTCTCAAGAGTATTTTATGATCCAGTGATACAACCGCTATTAAAAACATTTGGGAAAAGGTTGGCTACTGCTTCGTACCTGAGTCATTCGT